GATCAAAATTGAAAAGTCAATTTTTTAAAGTATGATCTCATAAAAAACTTTTGTAAACTTTCGAATGAAATAATCAAATTTAAAATCTAAAATTTTTGTCACAACCGGCACGATAGCTCGGAAACCTGCTTTTCAGTTTTGAGGATAGATTTCTGTTGATTTTAGTTTTTTTTTGATTATTCAATAAAATGTCATCAACTGAAGAAGATGAAAATCGAATGATATGCATTGAGGTGGTCCGATAAAAATGTAGACTAGTGCGGTTCGCAGGTCTTCGCTGGTGAAGCTTCACCGATCTCCAAGAAAAATTCCTCCGGACTGGACAGTAGAACGCGAACACATAGAACACTTTTCTAGTTGAAAAGGGACGCGTTATTTCACAAGGAGAACCGATTGTCAGTGAATGTGTTTCACATCGAAGAAACCCATTCCTTTTTATAATTCTTCGTCATGGGATATGAACCGATCATAGCATTCATTGGCAAAAATGGCTAATACAGTAAAGAAATTTGTGTTGTCAATGTTGATCATTATTGGATGAATAATGAAATTAATTCTTCGTAAATTATGTAAACCAATAAACTATATTTATAGTCTAAAAAAGTCAGAACGATAAGATCGTAATAGATATATTCTAATTAGCCAAGGCCGGTATGAGCTTGATTTTCAATGGCCATACGAATACTTTTTGATTCGTCTAAAAGAGTCGAACTTCACCATCAATGAAAAATTGCCATATTTTATCGATGAACACCAAATGATGGATAGTTTATTACACTTTTTATTATCAAGCAAATATTGTATAAAAATTTTATGAGTAAAAAGAAATTAAGCATATTAAGGAAGTAAAGAGAGACAGAACATTATTCAAAATATGAAGAAGCAGTATAAGGAAGAAGCATCAAATGGTAAACTTAAACTTCTCAAGTAGAACGACCAGCGATGATGTTATATCGACAGGTGACAGTCCATAAAGTTGAACTTATAACATGACCAACAAGCGTGATTATAATAACATTCAAGATGCTTGTAGTGAACACTGCAAATATTAACAAGACATGTTACATCGCTATACGAGTAATGCTATTTATTTACAAGAATTCTTTATGAAACTGAAACAGTCTTATTTTCCTATGTTCTCATTGGACATAAATGAGAACAACGATTGATTTTAAGGTACACTTGAAAAATCGATCTGCTTATTATTTGGTTTTAAAGAGAAATTATTTATTATAGTCGTGATATACAAAATCTATGGAATGAATCACAGTCGAAAACATGCCCTTATCCCTTTTCATCTTAAAAACTCCTAATATTTTACCCACATGGTCAATATAATAGGACAAGCTCATAGCTACAACACACAAAAAAATCCTTAAATGCTTGAAAACATTTTTGACTACTGTCAAACATTCCGTAAAGTCTGGTATTAGACATTTAGAGTAAACCTTGCTTAATATATTCGGATCGCCAACAGTCTTAACAATGCTTATTTTTGTCTGCTCTCCTTTTGCGTACATACCTCGATGGTTATGTTGCTTCACTGTTATTTCAACTAGCAGATGAGTCGAAGATTTCGATATAAAATGTTCCTTGACTTTTCTACCGACTTAGAGAGCTATCGAAAAATGTTACAACATCGAGTTACAATTCAAATTTTGTGCTCTTTCCAATTCTAGGTTCGAAGTTTTTATTAGAATCGTTTTTTAAAGTGATGAACAAATCTATGGAACGCTTGAAAATACCATTTGGCAGGATTTTATAATGCAAAAAATCATACAACAGAAGTAAAATTTATTCTAAAAAGATCAGATGAAAGAGCAAACATTTCTCTGCAAAATAATATCTTAATCATTACATTTCTGATAAATCTCTGTCAACCATGAAAGTAGTGACAAGAAGCACAGTAACACTTTCGCAATTCCTTGATTTTTAGACTCGTAACATGCGTCTGAAGAATTGCTTTGAAGAACTGACTTCTTAGCACACATTGTAGGGCGCAATATTTCATTTGCTGAAAACAACATCTGTTCTCTAGGCACTGCTCTGAAAAAAAATTCAGCATGGCATCTGTTCAAACGAAAGTAAATGAAACCTAAACAAAATCGACATCTCTATTCGAGAAATAAGAAATTGTTATGAAAAATTGCTGTAAAACACCATGGAAACAAATTTCAAACGAAACTCAGTCATATTCTCTATGTATCGATCTATTAGTTGCAATTTGCAACTGTCTTCGTGCAAACTTTATTTTTGCGTTTTTCAAAGATTTGCTCGTAACTCCTAGGACATGAGTCTAATAAAAATTCCTTACATAGATTCGAAAAAGTGCATACAATTCTAATTTTTTATCCACGCTTCGAAATTCCGAATAACTCTTTGAATCGATCAGAAAATGAGGAAGCATCTCATCTCACAACTTTCTGTTCATCTGTTATAATTTATGCAAGTATCGATACAAGAAACTTGTGGATTCATTTTGAACGATCTTTTCTACGACTTCAAGTTAGGAGTGATATCTGCGTTGTTGATCCTACGATATCTTCTTATATTCGTTCGTAAAGCTTTCTCTAGAATGTACTCACCACTTATGCTTGATGATGGTGGTATTACAGGACCAAAATCAACATTTGATGAACCTGTTGCAATAATTGAGAAAGCTGCTGTAATACGTGGAACATATGTAGTGAAAACCAAAACATATGTTTGAGAAGATTGTAGCCAATATCTTATTAGAAACTGACCATAACCACCACTCTCGTCGTCTTCTGCAAGCAGATTGATTGTTGTATCAGAAGGATTGAAACTGTTCGTATAAAAGTAACCATAAGCATCAACATTACTGTAGCTTTTGAAAATATAATAGCCGGTCATAGACGCTGTAATCTGAATTGCTTCGTAGTAGAAAGAGTCAAACCTTCCATGTGGACGAAACATAGGATTACTAATAGTCAATTCACTTGAGTAGCTTGAGGAAACAGAACCTTAAACATAGGTAAAACATGATAGCACAAATCTTGAAAAGAAAAATCAATATTGATATTTCTAAGAGAAGTTAAACTCGTCTACTTTCAGTATTTATTCGGTTATATCGAAGGATTATCGTCGCGCTACATACCATATGGTAAGATTTCGGTTTATGATCGGTTATGTGCAAACAATCTTCTCAGTGAAAAAATTTATAATTCTAGCGACGATGTTTTGCTCGAACAGATTTCTTGTATGGTAAGGCCCTATCCTGGGATTCTGAATACGAATGGTTTTTATTGCTGCGGTTATACATGCTCGTGTAATGGGATCATGTTTTGTACAATGAAGAGTGTTGACATAATTATATAACCAATAGATAAGGATGAAAGTCGAAAGCAACATATAAGAAAGAGACTGAAAAGCCAACTGTCATAAATTGATCAAACAGTGTTTTTCTCTACATGAACAAATGTTGCGGGTAGAGAATGTTTTTGCTGACCAATAACTATATCGAAAATAAGACGTCAAGGTAAAGGAAAACAATTGTATATCTTTATGAACTTTAGAATTATTCTCTCTGACCTTTTCAGACAGGAACGCGTATCGATAGTTATGCTGAGAGCTGTATCGAACAGACAAATTACTATATATGATCAAGGGGGAAACAGTGGACTTTTGGACTTGAAGTTACTTGAGCTACTTTAAGCTACTTCGACTTACTTCGAAGTACTTTAAGCTAATTCAAGTAGTTTATTTTCACGTACTTTTCAACTTCGCATTTACTTGAAGTTATCTCAAGTTACTTGTTCTAACTTTCTGCTACTTCAAATCCGCTGTTTCCCCCTTGTAAAAATAAGACATGAATATTCGAAATGGTTCACTAATCTCTTTGAAATCGCTGCGATTTTCGGTTGTTGTGTCACTCTTGCCATGTCTGATCGAGCTTGAGTGTCTACATATGAGGCATGTAGATGTGATAAAAAACGAAGAAACTGAGATGTTGCAATTCTGAAATGTGAATCGTGCTCGATTATTCCTGACGTATTGTACAGCCAACAGCAGGAAGCTTGTGATCAGACTCGATTTGACGTACAGTAGGTCACGAAAATTCATTCTAGTTAGTTTTTCTTGGGATAGGCCATCAACGAAGATTCATGTAGTGGGGATAATAACTATAAGTTCAGTTTATCTTTAAGAATATAGAAATTACTCCTAAACTGGCTCCAAAAACGGATATGTTCCTTGAATCAAACTGAATTTTTTTGAAAATATTTGTTCCAAAAGACATTAGAAGAAGACGAGCATTTTGAAGTTTCTATGTATCTTTTAGCGTTGTATACAACAATCATACTGTCGTTGGATTAATCTATTCAGTTAAAACACGTTGACTATACATAGAAAATCAGTTCAGTCTCTTTTTTTAAATGTATGATATGTTGTTCGGACCGATATTCACAGAACGAGAAATGCTCTACTTGTAAATTATTATAGTAGAATTATACGCTATGATATAACGAAAACTTAACCAAATGCAATTTTCTGGTCGATACGCTACTCAACATACATGTTCGCTAAAGTTTGATTTGATTGAATTCAATTGGATCGAATTCCATTCGGTAAACCTTCAACGAATTACAGTTCGATTTAGTTTACTTTTTCAGAATTACGCATCAATCTAATCTGATTCAACTCACAGGTCGAAAACGTAACCCAATTCAATGCCATTTCGATCAAATTATTTTCGAAAAAGATTTAATTCCGGATCGTGCTTCAAGAATATACTGCCTCTTCAAGTAGCAAGTGATTTCTCTGCATCAAAAATGACAGCTACGACAGAAATTTAATAAATCCAAAATAACTGCGAAAGAGATGTCTGAGTTACGTCATTAATCATAGCTCCGGAGGAAGAAAATCAGTTTTCATTCCTGCAATTCATTACATAGTGATATTCTTCTATTTTCGAGCAACGTTACCGCTTTTCTAGTGTTATTCCCTTGTGAAATCGGACATACTGTGAGATTTATTTCGTAATTCTCTCGAAACGTGAGAAAACTCATAGAAGACCTCAGATTTCGTCCAGCAATTATTTTGCTTAGCCTTATTCAAAAAATTTAGATATGAAACATCCAAAATGAACACACTGGGATACAGTCAAATTTATTTCATGTACATTCTGTCTTACTTGTTGAAGTACTAGTGTGAATTGATGGTGTCGCTGATACGTAACCTGTTCTAATAAGAGTTACTGGTACTAAACCGGATACGACTACTGTATATGATCCAGTGTATCCTGGAGAGTATGTTGTGGCAACCAAGATGTCATCATACCTACCAAAAATGTGTATAGGACATGGCATATGGCCTCATTAGATAGAATTCAGAAGTCTCCCAAGTGAAAGTCTGCAAGATGGTAGAGACAGTTTTTTTTACCAAGAATGAGATTATACTAGACTACTCGTTTTGATATTTATTTATTTTTACTATTATGAATCTAAAAAAAAAGTAGTAATCTTTCTACAAGTGATAACGATAACATTTTTACTGATACTGTAACCGATATGATTTTACTCGTGTCATTATCAACGCAGTAAAATACGTAGCATAGTTGCCAAAAATAGTAAAAATAAATATTAAAATTTAGAATTAATTTCACAAGTATCCTAGAACTATCGTTAAAAATAGAAATCATAATCTTGGCAATCCAGAATTTTGACCGAATAAATTTGGTTCTGGCGGATGCCCCGGGATATGTGAGTTTTAACAAAATTTTCAAAGTGGCATAACTAGCACCAATAGAAACCCTTAAATGAGGTATAAGAAACTGACTTCCTGTCTTCTGATTGGATAGACACATAGAAAGAATCTCTATTATTATGACTGAGGGTTGATTTTATTTTAGTTTTTCGCCATAGACTTGATTATTCATTATGGCTAGGTACTTTTTCTGGCACAGTTAATCTCATTTTATGAATAATTTGTTATTTCCATCATGTAGTTCTATAGAAAGAATAGGAATGACTTCAGATTTTGGATGACTTAGAAGCTTTGTCTAGGCTATTCTTCGTAAAGTCCTTAGCTATACAGAGTCTAAAATTAAAAAAATTTCGAAAGCATAATGATTTTCGCTCATTTCTTATAAAACTGTCAAGCAGTAAATACCGAATACTCATTTGACTTCACGCTTACAAAAGTTGCGAAGAACAATCAGATTTATGTAAGCTTCCTTCAGACCTGTAACAGAAGGATATTATATAAATAAGGTAAATCAAAAGTAAATACCAATAAACAACAACCAAGAGCCGCTGCTCCATCTTGTTCCGATTATAAAAATTTGAAACGAAATTGCTGGATACAATGCATACAGTGTATTTCGATAAATATTGACTAGATAAGAACATTTATTTGGATCGATAATGACATTAAAACGTGAAATTATTTTATTAGAATGAAATAAGGAAAATGTCCCTAACAATGGAAGGGTTTGTATTGATAAGCGAATTGGATGATCCGGTTGTTATCAAAAGATCACTTTCACCGAGAAACTAACGAATTTAAAATATTAGCTGC